CCTAAACCCCTAAATCATAAACACTAAACCTTAACCCCAAATCCTAAACCCAAAACATCCCAAAACAATGCATCCAGAGAAGCCCTATACTTTAGGTGGACCCCCCACCCTGTAGTAGTGACTATAAGGGATAATAGGGATTATATTAGGGTTTAGGGTTTAGGGCTTATATTCCTACTATACCACTATTACAGGGTGGGGGGTCCTCCTAACCTGTACTACACACAAGCCTCGGAGATCCTTGCGCCCTGAGCCCTGGGAGGCCGTGCAGCGCAGTATACCGAAGCTTGGGTTTAGGGTTTAGGGTTTAGGATTTGGGGTTTAGGGTTTAGGGTTTAGGGTCCTGAACCCTGAACCCTAAACCTAAGGGTTTGGGGGCCTCCAAGGGGCTCTAAAGATATGTGGGAACTGGATGGTTCTACGGAGCCAGTTTTGAGAACTAGCCAAACCCTACACCCTAAATCCAAAAACCTTAGACCCTCAACACCTAAACCCTAAATCCTAAACCCCGTGAACCCTAGCCCCTAGGCCCTAAACCTTAAACCCTAAGCCCTATAAACCCTAAATGTGAACCCCAAAGCGCCGAGGTTACATGGTCACGCCTTTCCGGGACTTCTTGGAAGCAAGGGCCTCTGCGCGCGTGCACTGCTTGATGAAGGCCTGGCTGGGGTGCTTATGGGCGCCGATCAGGGTTTAGGGTTCAGGGTTTGGGAATAGTTTAAGGTTTGGGGTTCAGGGCGTCCAGAAGACGCAGCATAGCCCGAAGCAAGCCCCACGAGGGGGTTTAGGGGTTCAAAGTTTACCCTTCCCCTGGACACTCATTAGCAGATTTTTAGACATGCTGGCTGCAGGCCAGGTTATATTCCCTTGGGAATCTGTAACCTGACGCCACCCAAAGCCATCGATTTCTTATTAAAATGCTTATTCAAGCATGCTGACAATCTAATTTTAAAGGGGGTAATGCGGCAGACTCCGTGATCCTCAATTATGCATTCATTTTGTGGGGGGATCTCAATTATGTAAAGTTCTAAGGGTGGGCAATGGTGAGGCCAGTATCATTCGTTGTTGCGTATCTGATTGACATTGATTGGATTTTTACTCTATTAGAACAGATTTTCACTGATTGTGAATAGATTGTAATTGATGTTAGTAGGTTCTAGAGGATGTACAACATTGTGATTCGATTGTAACTGATGCAAATCGGATGAAACAGGTCACGGCGATCAACGTGATGGTCCACCTCAATTGCCGAGAACCTAGCCCTTCCTATGTTCTGCAAAACTAAACTGAGCCATTCCTTAAGAATTCAATTAGTATCCCTTGCCTTATTCGTTTTACTAGGAGCCATAGGACCCCCAAGACCCCAATTTGTTTGGAGGACTTTCTATCATACATGCCCCCTTTTCGTGCAGGTGGGATCACTAATCAAAATCCAACAAAAGGATTGCTTGTTTAAGGCTGATAAGGCGTACAGCCACTCAAAGGCATTTTTTCAGTAAATCCTACCTATTTCTCCACAAAAAAAGCCCGACCAGTCCCTCCGAGCGAATTTTGCAGAAAACTGGGCAAATCCCACAGACGCTCCCTCCTGGTGATCCGAACCTTGCGTTCACAACATATCACCCTCCGCCATTCTTCTGTGTGGGGGGGGGGGGGGGGGGCGCAGGGAGCAGGTTCCGCATAGGCACTCCTACAGTAAGAACTTAACAACAAACCGCAAGCCCAGCAAGCCCAAAAACCAAACCCCAAAGCGTGAACCTCAAGGCCCAACCGCTGGAACCAGAATTGCCTGCGGGCCGTCCATGACAAAGCAGCCAGCGTCGATGCCTTTTTTCTTGAGCTGTGTCTCACAGGCCTTCTTGATAGCTTCCACGTCGGTGGTGTTCCTTGCTCAGTGATCCAACATCCCAGGACATAGATCCTCTTCACAGTACTGAACGCAGCATGCACCATTATGATAACCCAGCAACACTGCCCTTCCGTTACAAAATCCCCCAAAAAATAAAACAAAGAGAGACTTGCCAAACCTCCAAAATTCTTGCAGCCTCCTAATCTGGGAAAGGAAAGCCACCCTCCGTTCTACAAACAGCGGAAGGTACTTTACATTTGCTTGCAATGACTTCAGGCTTTCGGAGCTAGTAAGCAACTTATCGAGGGATGGAAAGAAAACGACAATACTAAAAAAGTAAGGTTCGCCTGCGCCACATTCTCTATGGAGGGGCAGTCAGCATCTGGAATGATCTCCCAATCCTGCTTGCTCTCCTCCTGCCACGTGTGAAAGATAAGAACCACAAGTATTCAAAGGGCCAGCTACTCCCACCAATCCTGCCTCTACCGCCTTATGTAAACTGGTTGCGGGGCTTCTGTATGCGGCCACTTGGCGGCATTGGAATAAATACTCAGCCTCTGAACCCTAGGGAGACCCTCTGATTAACTGGCAACCCCAACCCCTACACAAANNAGAGTCATATGAGTAGCGTTTTTTTGGTGGTTGAACCTCATAAGATTCTATTCCTTACATAAAATACTACAACCAAAAGGAGGATATAATCTTACTCTATATTGGGTATCATAGTATCCCCAAATAAAATACTACCCGAATCAAAGGGTCCTCATTTTCGGATTAGGGTAACTAACATCCCCTTATTACAGGGTCTACCCAACACACTGGATTTCACGGCCCACTAGAAGCTAGAGCCCTCCTGCGAGATGGGATTGAAGCCCTGGGACATGGGCTTCACGATCTCGCCTGAACAGTCATCAACCAGGTAGTGCTACTTGGAAAAGTTCATGGGACTTAGCATGATAACCCTACATATATCTGGGGGAACCTCTATATGGCCACATAAAAAGTATGAGTAGAGCTATATGCTCAGTAGTGAGTAGCTGCTAAATCCTATAAGCTTTGAGTGAATTAAATAAACAGGTTGCAGAACCTGCAAAGCCAATTTCCCAAGCAATGACCAGATGACTCTTAACAACCACTAATTGGACCTGACATGGTCAGATGAAGGAAAGCAGTACAGCCGAAAACTTAGCACGCGCAAATCGCATGACTTATGTTGCTTTGATTTTAGTATAACATAATAGAGTAGAACATACATATATAGCCCAAATATACTACAGTAGTGTCCATTTTCTTTGCCATTATCCCAATATGTCCCTCATTATTCCTGTAGCCCCTTCTCTGGGGTAGTTAGGTAGGGGAATTACATGGTGGTTTCAATTTATAGGGGACCCCAAACTGAACCCTAATCTACTATAATCCTCATTGTGGGGACCACCAAAAAAACCCTAATTTCTGCAAAGCCAAATCCCTATACCACTCTATACTCCCAGTTTCCATTATGTTTTCCGCTTTCTTTACCAGTTGATGCCCCATTATGAAGGTAATATCCCTAAACCCTGAACCCTAAGCTTGGTTGGTACCTAGTACCTACAACTGAATTCGCCTGGCTGTGTCTTGATCAGCAGCTTGCGGCCATCCAGGTGAGTGAGCTCCATCCTCATTTGAGCCATTGTCTAAACTCCTAGTATCCCCCTTAATAACCCCTATAGTAGTACCCTATATAATCCCTTATATAATCCCCTTTAAGGAGTTTAGAGTATGGCTCATTTCACTTCATGGGATCACCCTCCAGAGTTCAGGGTTTGGGGTCCTGACTTTCAGGTTACTTGGAGGTTCATGGGGACATAACACTCCAAACCAGGTCAAAATCTCAAGCACTAACCTCAACCCAACACCCTAAACACCTATAGTAGTCCCCAATAAGTAGATAGAATATGGCTTTGTATTATAATAGGACTAGATACCCATATACCTCATATTCTATCTACTTACTGGGGACTATAAACCCTAAACATCCAACTCGGGCACCCTGTCTCTGAGCCCCGAACATCATAGGACTCCTGAGCCCCTCTCCTACTTGCTGACTTTTACTCTCTTCCCCCGTAACCAGGGCTGAGAAAGTTTAAACTTTATTATAGAGACCCAAAAAAGAAGCCCAAAAAGGTTCAGGGTCTTCTATTGGCTGAGTAAGTCTATGGCCCCCAACAGAGTTCAGTAAACCCTTTCTTATAGTAGGCTTTGATATATCTAAGAGACGGTGGAAGCTCAGCTGCCCAGCAACCGGGCCAAAACTATAAACCCTAAACCCTGAACCCTAAGCCCTGAACCCTATACCCTAAACCGTGAACCCTAAACCCTGAACCCTAAACCCTGAACCCTAAACCGTAATAAGCCCTAAACCCTAAACCCTAAACCCTGAACCCTAAACCCTAAACCCTGAAGTTTAACCATGATCCTTCTGCCTAGGACGCCCGAAAGTCGGCCAAGATCTGTAGACTGTCCAAAGCCCTAACTTGCTCAGCCAATAGAAGAACTTTAACCCTTTTGGGCTTCCTTTTTGGGTCTCTACCAAAAAAAGCTTAAACTTTCTAAGCCCTGGTTATTGTGTACCTACTATATGCCCTATATCATGTACCCTTAAGGGCCTCCTAGAATCCCCCCAAAGGCGTAAGGATCCATATGAGCTATAGTCTAAACTCCTAGTATCCCCCTTATAATCCCTATACTAGTCCCCTATATGATTCCCTATATAACCCCCTTTAAGGAGTTTAGACTATGGCTCATATTAGGGGCGCATACTTCTAACCTTAGATATGAACACCAAGCATCTGAAAGCCACAGAGGGCCTCCACCAGGGAGATGGTTCGCCTGGATATCGTTTTAGCCATGGGTGTGCGTGCGTGTGTTGAGATCCTTATGACTTTAGGTATTTCTGATAGAATATAGGCAAAATAAGGAGAAGTGAGCTTTAGGTACTTGTGATAGAATATGGGAATATAGGGGAAGTTTGTGTCCAGGTAAGTATGACAATCGAGGAAAAACTAGAAAACGCAGGTCTATGGTACTAGCCAATTGGTCTTAAACTCTAAACCCTAAACCCCCAAGGCCGCAAGATGGGCATTCCCCCAAAACCATGAATCATGTTTAGCGACCTCAAGGGCATTTGGGGGCAAAAACCCTCAACGAATGTTCCGCACTCCTCGACAATGGTCATTACATTTATAAAAGCCCTAAGCCATTGGCCTCACACATTGAGCCCTAAACTTACTGCTGGTTAGTAGGTTTAGGGTTTAGGGTTTAGGGAATATAACCCCTACAAAGCCCGCATATAATATATTCCCATATTCGCTACTAACCCCCAGTAAGTAAATCCTTAACCTTTGATGTTGCCTCTACTCTATGACAGTTCCCCCAGTTTAGAAATCGTTGTGAGATCCCACACACCTTATGTATTCAGGGCCTTACATATGCCGGTCGTAGTGAAGCGTCGGAGAAATTTGCGCTCTGAACTCACAACAAACCTTTGATCCCGAAACCTCAGCCTAGCTGCTCTACGTAGAGGTCCGCACCCTTCCGCTTGAACTCTGGGTGCTCCTGCTGCTTCAACACGAAGACCACATCCCCGGTATCCTGGTTAGGTGTTTTGAAATAAATGCGTTTGAACTCGTGCGTTTACGTTTTAAATCTAGGGTCTAGGTGCGAGGATTTAAGACTCTAGGGTTTGGGGGTAAACTGACATGGAACCCGTAAAGGGGCCTTCTGAACACTACCGCCCTTCTCTTGGGCGTATGTTTATCTGGGGTGAAAGTTGGGGTGAAGGTATTGTGCACGCATGGCTCGTTGAAACATTTAAACTTCTAGACAGTCTTACAGGAATCCCTGTCTCTATTTGCTACATTGGCTACATTGGCAGAAGCAGCATTAATCCTTAAACCCAACTGCAAAAAGGCAACAAACGAACAAATCGACCAAAAACAGGCCCAGCGTCTGCGTCCGGATGCTCATCTGCCTTTGAGGGTTCAGCGTTTTCAGGCCTTTGCGTTTTTGCAGTGTGTTATAGGATGTGTCTTGGAGAAACTTAAGGAAAGCCTTTTGGTTCAGAAAAGGTTATAGTTTAGGTCGTTTCACCTTGGTTATATTGGGAAAATGGAACAGAACATGGAAACTACTATATAATAGCAATCTCCACAGAAGGCAGCAAGCCGTATAGTTGTCCCGTAATAAAGTGCCTCTCAGCACCATTACTAAAACGCAAAGGACCTCTGTTGTATGTTTTAAAGCTCCAGCAATTCTGATGCCTTTTGAATTGGAGAGATGTCTAGGGTTTAGGGTTCGGGGTTTAGGGTTTACGGCCTGGGCTACGGCTTGACTTGAAACGTGAGGCGGACTGAGTAACTAGGTTAGTAGGCATGACAAGGTTTGCTTTATAGTTAGCTTGTACGGACTGAAGGTCTGCTTACCAAATCCGCCTGACCCACCACGCAGGGCTTAAGAACTCGAAATGAACCGTTACCCAACCCCATATAGCATCCTCATATGAGCCATCGTCTCAACTCCCAGCATCCCCCTTCGTCACCCCTATATTACTCCCCTATATATTACCCCCTAAACCCCAAACCCTAAAGCCTAGACCTTTAAAAATCCCTTTTATATCTCTCTTTGAGGAGTTTAGACTAGAGTTCATAGGCTCTGGACGACTACAGTCATAGCAAGCTTGGCTGTTTCAAGGAATCTTTTCCCCTAATCTGAGTTGGGTTTAGGGTTTCGGGTTTTTAGTCCCCCACCGCAGTCATGATAAGTGACATTCCAGTATGGGGGTGTAAGCCCTAAGCCCCAAAGCGTTTAGATACAAGGAGGTGAGGTCCTAGGGCGGTGGTTCTTACAGGTCACGCATTCATCATGGACATCCGACTCTTTGCAATGTCAAGCGACTACCAGGAATCCCATTACACCTCAAATCATTTCCAAGTGAGTGACCATCTTGATCAGAATGACGGTTCTGGATGTGTGCGTGAGGACTACATTTACGTCTCTTGTTGGTGACTCTTGTAGGAATAAATTGAAGTTTACAGAAATCCTGGAAGAGCAGACGAACCTGTGCCTTCTCGCGACACACGACCTTCTGGCCATCAGACGCGCCCTTCTGCACATGCACCTGACAGAAGGCCCAGCAGTTGTCTTGGAGCCTTGGGTTTAGGACTCAGGGTGCGGTGACATCGGGTGCTCAAGCTTGAGGGGTTGCGGATTCACCTGGATACCGCTCTCCTTCTTGCGACAAGACTTCACTACAACTGCAAGCTAAAGAAATTAAACAAACTGTACTTCTGACACATGCACACACACACACACGTCCTGATTGGATCTAGAGCGTCCTTTTCCAAGAAGCCCCTTATGGCTGATGATGTCATGTTGAAGG